AAAAGATGTTTGTAATTCATAACTAGTTATCCAGCATGGCTATTGCAAGAATCCAACAGAATACTGCCAAACATTATTCATTCAGTTGGTAAAAATTCTTGGACATTAACTACACATTAGTTAACCTACTATTTTGGTGAGTTATCAAAATAAATAAGACTACATAGGCCTTCCCTTTAGAAATTTACAGTTAGGTAAAGGAAATGCACAAAGATATGATGACCATAGATAGGTAAGGAAAAATTATTAGGAAAAGTGTTTTGGATGTCAACCACTGAGTTTTATTGGCACTGGTGTGGAACTGTGGGTTAATGCACTGGACTGCAAAGTCGGTTTGAATGGCAAGGTTGGAGGTTCAAGCTCATCAGCTGCTCCTCAGAAACCCTACACAGGGTTGCTATGGGTCAGGACCTACTCAATGGCACACAACAACAACTAAATACGATTATCATTGTTATAGTGTGTGAGCTCCTATCTATGGGTAGAATGAGGCTGACAGAAAACAGTATTTTGTAGTTATTGGAAGGAAGAGTATATTTGGCTAAATATCTGGAACTGAACTTTATTCACCCACTTTCAAATAGGCAACAATGACAGTCAGTGGAATCCTCAAGGGGTACTCCATTTAAAAAGCTGACAGCTTGATGATGGATGCTGTGTTAATTACAAACATGCACGGCAACATCAAAATAACATGACATAAGGGTAATCCACAAGCTGAGTTGTATGAGCTATGCAAAAGGATGAGTAGGCATGGCAAATAATAACTCCTTAGTAAAAGCCTCTCCACCATTCTTTGCTATGCTGAAGGAGCTGGAGGTCCTATTAAACAAGCTCAGACAAGTGGCCTTGCCTCTTCTACTGTACATCTCACATACAGCATGTCTGCACTTTGCAGGGAAAGTACACGAAGCATTTAGTTCCACTACACATGACTTATTCTGATCACAGAGTTATCAGTTCTTCTAAGGAATCTGTTTCAAGTTGCTGTAATTATAGTGCATTTTGGTCAATCATGTAAAACAGCAATTTCCTTCTTCCTCTCCACTACATTTCAGCAACTTAAAAGGTTTCTCTCTTGGACCGAAGCTTTACATCAGTGTTTTTCAAGCTGCATTTTGTG